CGCGGCGAGCGGGCTGGGGAGGAGGATTAGGGCACGCTGCCCCCCCCTCCCCTCCCACCTCCACTGCTACGTCACCACAACACAACCACACGCGCGCTCGTACTGTTGGTGTCATTCATTCGGTGCCAAGATTGCTTTAAAAAATTCCCTTGGCCCCAGTTCAAACAGGAGTACAGCTGGGATGTGTTAGATTTTAGGCAGTCTGCCCTCAATTTGAGATGAGTTATAAATAGCAGTGCCGACTTCCTTAACTACCACTCTCCGAGGTAAAATGCAGGTTAATTACTGTGGGAATCAATTAGGGCTTCTCTCGGTTAAACAGCCGGTAATGCTTTTTATTATTTTTTATCACAAAAAAATGGACAACAGATCTGCTCGGGAGAAGATTTCAGATCCAAGGTGAGAGCTTAGGGCTTTTTTCTTATTATTTTTGGCCCTTCTATTTTTTTTTTTTTTGAGCAGCTGAGGAAACCAGTTGTGGCCAATGCCCACGTTTGCCAATAATGGAGTGGCGCTGATTTGAAACTGGAGAGTTGAGTAAATGACTATCCTCCCTTTTCTTCCTCTGGCATAATAAAATACAAGTCAGAAATAAGGTAACTGGGAAAGTCATAATTACATTTTTCTGTACAGCTACGGAGGGTTTGGCTCTAGCTTCCAAAGGGGGATTTGCCTCTTCCCTTTACTTGTTTTCCTGCTGGGACCATTAAATAAGTCCCCTCCAGTTTAACTAAACTGTTCTTTCAAGAGGCCAAATTTCTCTTCTGCAGGATAAAATCTGAAAAGAATTGATCGTGGAAACCTCTGGTCTGCTTAGAAGCTTTTTTTCTCTGTTTTGTTGCTCGGGTTGGTTTGTTCAAGGAAAACTCTGGTGTTGTTTTTCACTAGCTGGTTTTCACGGTACCGTCTCGTTTTAGGGTCCTGACATCCTTTACACTCCACATCCTAATTTGGAGAGCTTTTGAACTCGGCAATTTAAGCACACTTTGGGCTTGCTGTTACAAGCTCTTAGGCAAGAAATATCTTAAACTTTCTCAAAAGCTCAGGATTTCCTCTGGAGCTCCAGCTTACGATCACTTCCATTGCACACCGAACCAGACGACTTTGCTTTTGAAAGTTTTGACTGGAGAGGGGACCGTGTTTTGCCAAGTTTTGGTACTTAACAGTGCTCTAAACCAGCAGAGATACCGAGATTGAAGGAAGAATAGAAGCAATTTCTATGAATGCGAGGAGGTGTAAGCAGGGGGTCTGGACTTCAGTGATCAAGGAGCGACACTTTCTCTCAATTATGTCTCTCTGTGGCAGGGCCTTTGCTTTTGAAGTGTAATCACAGTAATCTACTCCTGTGGTTTCCCATTGAAAGGATTTCCCATGTATCAGTCCAGAGAAGAATCTCCAGCCTTTTGCAGTCGAGAGTTTGGTATTTCCTTATTTATCCTGAAGTGTTCTGGCGAGCGGGCGGGCGCCGCTTCCTCCCGGCTTCCCCGAGCCCTGCAGCACCTCTGCTCCCCCAGAGCCCTCCTGCTCCCCCATCGACCTGCACTTCACTGCCTTTCGACCTGGACTCCTCTTTTCCTGAGGCACGTGTAGCTAAATTACCTAAAAGGGCTGAGATAGCAGATTCAAGTAGACTTCCTGATGGTAGGCTCTCATCTTCTCAGCGTTGCTCTGGCTTCGAGTGGTTAAAGCTCCGTCAGCCCGAGAGTTTTGTGTCTTTAAAGGGGGATTTTGAAGGCAGAACCAAAGCTTTGCAGCATTTGAGATGCACCCAGCAGCCCCAGGGAGCACGAATGAGCCCGTTGGTTTGCAACAAGTTAGGAGTAGGTGTATGAAATGGTTCCCTCATTAGAGATTAATTGGTGTTTACGTTTCTTCTGTTTATAGAATTTTATCTATAAGGCTGTAATTTAGAATGATGTTCTCCCTGTTTGTTTTTAGCATTCTCTGCACGCTGGGGCCTTGTGGAATAGTGGCAGCTCAGGCAGCGTGGTGTGGAGGCACACTGTGTACTCCCACACTGAGCAATCAAGGTGACGACTTGGTCACATCCTGGAAATATGTTTAGGGTTTGGGTTTTGAGTTTTTTTCTTTTATCTCTTTTTTTTTTCCATGGCTGTGTAAACAGTTCCAAATGTTTCTTGAAGTTTTTTAGGAGTTGTCATGCTTCCTGTAGGAGTCACAGAAAAATGGATCTTCACCTTGTTTCTGCCTTTCCTGAAGATATGATTAGATTTGCGGGTGACCACAGACAAGAAAATCTCTGCAGAGGAGGCAGCGTGTGGTGCATGTGTATTAAAAAGGAAATAGGTTTTAAAAGTCCCCAAACAGGAATGTATTTGAGAAGCTGCCTTTGCTAGCGGGCTCTGACGTTGAGGTGACAACCAGGAGGAGGCAAGTAACAAGTGGAAAAGATGCTGAAAGGTTTAGTTGGGAACCCCAGAGTGGCACTTGATCAGGTGGAAGGAAGGAAGGTATGGGCTTGGGGGGTGGGGAAGGAGGGTTTGGCTTGTCAGAAGTTAGGGGTTGGCAAGCATTCCTGGTGGCACCGTGTTTACATACCAAAGAAGATAATGTGGGGAGGAAGATGTCCCTAATCTAAGGTGATACTCACAAGGCAAGGCTCAGGAAGCATTAGGGACAGTGGCTTCCAAGACGTAAACACAGTTTGCATCCATGAGGGTATCTGAGAGCTCCATGTGGGTGCTGCCATTCAGGAGGTAAGTCACTGTAGCTCTGAGGGTTCAGACTACAGCCATCAAAGATCTCTTTTTTTGTGACCCCTTGAATGGAAGCTCCTTTTCAGAGCATGGTACAACACCAAGTGGATGCATGGCATGGGCTGTGGGGCACGGCTCTTTGGGTGTGCAGGAGCTCAGGCTTCTCTGGCTTCCTCTGCCAAGGTCCTGCAGCCTCTGTCCACATTACTCCTGAACAGTAGCAGCTGTGGTAATTTGAACAGAAAATACAAAATGTGATTTATTTTTTTTTTAGAATTATTCTAGGATTGGTATGGCTGAAAATGGAAAGCCCCAGTGCAGCTGAGCGTGGCAGGGCATCTAAAACCTGCCTCAGTAGAGAGAATCCCACCAGTGCCATGTACACAGTCGGTTGTGAACCATTTCTGCAGGGCAGCAAGCACTGGGGGTGTGGGGCTGAGCTGGGGCAGAGGAGACTGGGACCTGGTGCTTAGTTGATTTGTGCCATATTGGTACAAGTTAAGGAAAAAATTCC